TACAGCAGGAATCTCATTGGATGGATTGAGGTCAAGCCACTGTGGGTTGAGGCCAGAATGGGGGAAACACGGAGCGTGCGTTTGGGTGCACGTCAGTTGCCTCTGGCAGCAGTGGTGGTCGCCCGTCCGTTTGCGCATGCCTCGAGGTACGCGGGAAAACTTCTTTCGCGAGTTAGGATTGTGTCGGACAGACACGACCACTACAGGTGTTTCTGGTCTGTACCTCAGGACTGAAGCTCAGGCTGCAAAAAGTCCTCTTAATGAAACCTCTATGGTATTCCCTCCTCTGTGAGACCTGAGTCTGGAGCGAGAGTATGGCATGCTCAGACGGGCTGTTTATGTTTGTCAGTCATGGCGCATTGATCCACCTCCGGTTGTCTTCACTTCATCTTACAACCCCACAAGGTGGATGGTAGAATATAGAGAAGGTGAGTAACGTGGACGCGGTGCAATATTGCTTCCCTTTAAGCAAAATCACATGTAAGTCAATCCTTCACCCACCTCCCGGGCAGTGGTCTAGCCCTCATAGTAGTATCGACAGCCAACATTACCCACTGCGTCATGTCATTGCCAACTCACTGACCCGTAGACTCTTGACCGACCCCCCACTCACACTTCGGACCTCGCACTCGTGCGTCCACATAGTCGCAGCTGTTGAAGGGCAACTTGAAGAGGCCACCCCTCAGACGACGCAGCATGGGCCACTCTCTCGCGTAATGCAACACACGCCAATTGGACGCCACTTGAACTTGTTTCACAATCATATAAAAAGCAGCTGCCACCACTGTCTTCCTCTCTCTCTCGCTCAGGCACGACTGAACGCAGTCAACACTAGTCTGGCTTCGCCAGTGGTCACTGCTGCCTGGGACAGCAACTGGACGTTTTGTGCACAAAAAGTCCTCCGATAGGTGCCTTCTGTCATTTCCAACAACTCCGGATTCCCCCTAATGATTGTAGTGATCTGAGTAGAAAAATCACTTGGACGCCTACAGTATGTTACACAATTTGATGAGTTAATCTACTGCGAGCGAAGCGGGCCCATCGACCGGCTTTTGAGGATACGCACCCAAGGTCCCCTCGTCTGCCTTGATAACAAAGTACGGCATATGAGGTGTAGACAGCCAACCGCAGATAATGTCTTACAAAGGAATCTGTTGCTGCTGGGTCTACACGTAAGTCGCAAGTGTTAGTAGTGTAGCCTGACCAAAGGCTAACAACTTCGCAGGCTCTCCTGAGGCATCGTGCCAGCCGCCGACTGCCACAATGAGTCCTCTGTCAACAGAGGACTGCCTTCAAGTTCATAGGCCCTTCGTGGTGGTTATGCCCACGCGATGACTGTCCACATGCAATGACCTTAAACCGGACACACGTACGCGCGTCAAGGCGCCTGCCCAAGTGGTCGCAATCCCTCAGGGGCCAACTGGTCGCGTGACCTTATCCCAATGCGGCCAATGGTGCCACAAGCGAACGCGCTTGACAATCACTTATAAGCCACTGTCACCCCTCAGAGAGTGAATTTCAACACGGAATTCCAGGACACCGTCAGTCCGCTCCCAATGCCGGGGTTCGCCCCCTAAGCGGGTACATTCAGCGGCAACTGCAACCCGAGAAAGCAACTCCGGGTTTTGTACACAATAAACCCTCTCCGGGTGGATTCCAAAGTTACGCCCTTCTTATTATGTTCTTCCATGGGGATTCCAAAAGGCTTAACTAGACGTTGACACCACAAAGTGTTACCGTAACAACAACAAGTCGTAGAACTTCAGTACTTCTAGACCCTGTCTAGACACGGGACTCAGACGGGTGAGGGAAGGGACAGTGCGGTAGATGCAACGTAAGCCTAATATCACTTAAAATTAATCCATGCGTAAATTGCCTTGCCAGCACTCCCACGCCGTGGAGCACACGGTCGATATCGTCGGAATCGACGGTCCAACATATGAGTTGCAATTCGTAGCACTTCAGTACTAATTCCGGAAACAGCACAACAGAAAGTTACCACTTTTTCTCTTTGAGGTGTGGCGTAGTTGTTGCCAGTTAAAGAATCAGGCGCACGCAAGTACATGGCA